CCCTTATATCAAATGTTACTTTTTTGATAAGGGTCCCCCCTTATGTAAAATGTAAATGTTTTGATAAGGGTCCCCCCTTATGTACAAATGTTACTTTTTTGATAAGGGTCCCCCCTTATGTAAAATGCAGAAGTGGGGACTCGAGTCACATGACTTGACTCGAGTCGCATATTTTTGGACTTGAGACTTGCTTGACTAACATTGATAAAAGACTTGACTTGACTTTGACTTGGTATTCATGACTTGAGACTTGACTTAAGCTTGAGACGGATGACTTGAAAGGACTTGTCTGTTTAAAATTAAATATTTGCGTTTGTTTTTGTAGTGAGATATTACGTTTAGTTTTTTCGAAAAATGTGATTGGGTGATTATAGCGGCATGCGCGCAAACCTGGCAACCCACTAGACGGCAGGAACGTCAGTTAACATGGCAGCGGCTAGCGTTACTCCAAAAATAGTGAAGTTTGGATTCAAGGATTATGTTGTCGATGACGCTAATAAGAAGAGAACAGCGGTATGCAGGGTCTGCAGCATAAAGATCAGTGACACGACCACCACAACATCCAACTTCATTCGTCACTACAAAAAAACCCACAGAGAAAGGTGCGTGAATGTGTTGTGTTAGCTAGAAAGCTAACGTTAAGTTTAAGCTACGTCAGACTTGGTTTCAAATCGATTAAGCATTACAAAGAGAAGACAAAACGGTAAATGAACACTAGAACCGCCAAGGGATTCATTTTGACTAACCCCGATACTGACGGGCTGTCAGGAGAGGGAGGGAGAGAGAGAGAGGGAAAGAGATGCCTCGTTTATTTCCCCTGTGTTATCAGAAGTTGCTGTAAACTGTTGAATAATGTAGTTCATCTACTTTTAGTAGTTTGTTTAAATGTTTTAATTATGTTGTTTTTGTTTGTAGAAGTGCATCATTCCTTGATTTATTGTAAAATGAATATGAACTTTTTGATCTGTTATGATGATAAACTGAAGCAATTTCTAAATTAACCCAATTAACTGAGTTTTAAATCGTCCTACTTAGTTTATAAGGAAATTATGAAGAGGAACAAATTAAATGATTTGAAAATGATATCTATGTAGGTGCTGACGCTGTTGGCGGTTCTAGTGTTAACAGAAATTTAAATTAAATATGTGTAATGGCAAATGCCATATATGATTTTCTTACCTGGATTTCTGCCTTTTTGAACAGACTTTTTGATTGAGTCCTAGCTATATTGTCTGCAGTTCTAGGGTTAATATTAATCTAATATGATTGTCATCGGTCTAAATTAGATTTCAAATGATTAACTGTGTATGTAATGAAGATCATAGTGTGGGTTAAATCCATTTTCATAACCACTGTCTTTTAACTGATTTAAATGCGGAAACTGGGCTTATTCATCAGAATTTCGTATGACTTGACTTGACTTGCTTGACCTGAGCAATGACTTGACTTGACTTGCTTGACTCTCACCACAGTGACTTGGGACTTGCTTGATACTTGTAGGTCAAGACTTGAGACTTGCTCATGACTTGCACATGTAGGACTTACTCCCACCTCTGGTAAAATGTAAATGTTTTGATATGGGTCCCCCCTTATGTAAAATGTAAATGTTTTGATAAGGGTCCCCCCTTATATAAAATGTAAGTTTTTTGATAAGGGTCCCCCCTTATATCAAATTAAAATGTTTTGATAAGGGTCCCCCCTTATGTAAAATGTAAATGTTTTGATAAGGGTCCCCCCTTATATCAAATGTTACTTTTTTGATAAGGGTCCCCCCTTATGTAAAATGTAAATGTTTTGATAAGGGTCCCCCCTTATGTACAAATGTTACTTTTTTGATAAGCGTCCCCCCTTATGTAAAATGTAAATGTTTTGATAAGGGTCCCCCCTTATATCAAATGTTACTTTTTTGATAAGGGTCCCCCCTTATGTAAAATGTAAATGTTTTGATAAGGGTCCCCCCTTATGTAAAATGTAAATGTTTTGATAAGGGTCCCCCCTTATATAAAATGTAAATGTTTTGATAAGGGTCCCCCCTTATGTAAAATGTAAATGTTTTGATAAGGGTCCCCCCTTATGTAAAATGTAAATGTTTTGATAAGGGTCCCCCCTTATATCAAATTAAAATGTTTTGATAAGGGTCCCCCCTTATGTAAAATGTAAATGTTTTGATAAGGGTCCCCCCTTATATCAAATGTTACTTTTTTGATAAGGGTCCCCCCTTATGTAAAATGTAAATGTTTTGATAAGGGTCCCCCCTTATGTACAAATGTTACTTTTTTGATAAGCGTCCCCCCTTATGTAAAATGTAAATGTTTTGATAAGGGTCCCCCCTTATATCAAATGTTACTTTTTTGATAAGGGTCCCCCCTTATGTAAAATGTAAATGTTTTGATAAGGGTCCCCCCTTATGTACAAATGTTACTTTTTTGATAAGGGTCCCCCCTTATGTAAAATGTAAATGTTTTGATAAGGGTCCCCCCTTATATAAAATGTAAATGTTTTGATAAGGGTCCCCCCTTATGTAAATGTTTTGATAAGGGTCCCCCCTTATATCAAATGTTACTTTTTTGATAAGGGTCCCCCCTTATGTAAAATGTAAATGTTTTGATAAGCGTCCCCCCTTATGTAAAATGTAAATGTTTTGATAAGGGTCCCCCCTTATATCAAATGTTACTTTTTTGATAAGGGTCCCCCCTTATGTAAAATGTAAATGTTTTGATAAGGGTCCCCCCTTATGTACAAATGTTACTTTTTTGATAAGGGTCCCCCCTTATGTAAAATGTAAATGTTTTGATAAGGGTCCCCCCTTATATAAAATGTAAATGTTTTGATAAGGGTCCCCCCTTATGTAAAATGTAAATGTTTTGATAAGGGTCCCCCCTTATGTAAAATGTAAATGTTTTGATATGGGTCCCCCCTTATATCAAATTTGACTTTTTTGATAGACTGTCTCAGCCTATTATTTTCTATTAAACTCCAGTCTGTGTTTGTGTTTGAGGTGACGATGTAATGTGTGTGTGTGAGCCCAGAGATCAAAGGTTACCATGGTGATGTGTAGTAATCAGTGAAAGGAGAGCCTTTCCATTGTTCTGAAATGAGAAATAAACCTCTTACATTTCTAACTATAGTTTAAAAACGGTAACTGCTATCGGTAAAATGTCAACGCGTGGAGCATGTCAAGGACCCTGAGGAGCGTCTCAGTCTGCTTTTTGTGTACTTTCGGGTCAATAATGTGGCTTTTTTGGCAGATTAACTAAAGGTGCTGTGATGAAAGATGAGGCTGAATTTACAATGGGCCTTAATGCAGAAAGTCATAGTATAGCATGTCCAAAAAATGCAAATAAAACCATGGTATTTTATTTCGAAATAAGGAACGGTATGGTGTGTACAAACCAGGCGTTGTATGTCGTTAAAAATTACATAAAAGTCATAATATAGCATGTTGAAAAAATGCACAAAAAAAACCATGGTACTTTGTCGAAATAAGGCACAGTATGGTGTGTAGAAACCAGGCAGGTATGTCGTTAAAAATGACAGAAAAGTCATAATATAGCATGTCGAAAAAATGCCAAAAAGAAAACGACCTATTTTATGTTGAAATAAGGCATATAGTATATAATATAGTATGTCGATAACAATGACAAAAACATGTTGGAAAAAAAAAAAAAAACGAGATAGTAGGCTAGAAAAACTTCTAGAAAAACATCGTGTATTTCATGTCGAAATAACGCACAGTATGGTGTGTCGAAACCACATGTCGATAAAAATGACAGAAAAAAAAGTTATAGTTGTTAGGGAATAATTTGCTTAGGTATTCAACCTTCGACCCAGTTCATCGTTTTCTCTCTTTACTGTCTCTTTTCCCATGGCATAGTTCTACGGCCTTGGGTATTGCTGCTATACCTCTTAAGGAGGAGCAGCTTGGGCGCATTGTTGTTGCCAGTCTATGACAGAGCACAAGCCGCCATGAGGCGTCCCTGTTCAGGGACGTAGGTTCCCTGGCGCACATTCTTTTCTATGGACGAGAGCTCTAGTTAGATTCAGGGTCCATAATTGTTTAGTCTCACTGATAAAGAATGTTGATTATTACACTCCGAACTAGTTAAAACCTCGAGCTGCAGAAGAGTTCTTGAGAATTGGTTTGGCAACCGCTGTGTCAACCTGTCTTGTCAATTCTCCGGCCGAAGCTCCAAATAAACCGTCAGTGTTTGCCATCAAAGCTCCAGCTCTCCTCGTGTCTCTCTGAGTCCTGTTTCCAATTGCTTCAGAAGTTTCCCCCACAATAGTATATGCAAGAAAACGACATAGTAGTATGTCGATATTTTCTGAAACACAGCATAGTGTCGAAAATATGCAAAATAAGGACACACAGCATTTTTGTTACAAAAACAAAAACAAGGCATAGTTGTTGAATCTTCCCAAAAAACAGCATACTATAGTACATCAAAAATATGCAAAAAACATGAAAATATGAAAGCAAAACGGCATAGTTTAGAATATAAAAACAAAAAAAAGCGGATTGTATAGTATGTGTAAAATATGCCCAAAAAACAGCATAGTGTAGCTTGTCAAAAATACGAAAAAAAACTGCAAATACAATTAAATGATAGCCTGAAATATATTTAGGAACAACATTTACAATCCGTTGTACACATAGAATAACAACTGAGGCCTGAAACTGTACATACTGTATGTACTGAATTCTCACTCATGCATTTAAATGGTGTTGTGTGCCAAAAAAAGATGTAGGCTACAAGCTGAGTGTCAAGCGTCAGTATCGTGACTGAACTGGAGTAACTGTGGACTGAACTGGAGTAACTGCATGTGACTCTACGCGAGTGTCCTTTTTCCCTCTCAGCCCTGAGGACTGGCCTCCCTTCAAAGGAGGGAGCTGAAAAACAAAAGAGTGTGTTTTGGTGGGCGTCCACCATTCTGGCCAGTAAGGCAGGCGCTTTCTGAGCCTTTGCTATGCAATCTGTTCAATTAGGACAAGAATCAAGTATGATTATACCAAAATATGAAGTACTTTATTTGTGCTTATGATGAGCAGTTATTTAATACAGCAGTTACATTGGTGCACCTCTTTTTGTATTGTTCCCGTGTCAACAAGCAAAGACTAAAGCCAACAAATTGTTTCGGTTTTCTCAATACTATTTCACTTTTCTAAGAGATATTATTTGTTATTTCTGATGATGTTAATCTGTCAAAAACAGTTGAAAATATGAAGTTATATTTTGAAAAGAGGCTTACTAAGTCACAGCTGCAGCTTTTAGTAACACAAACTGGCATTTGCTAGTATAGTGCATTTGTTGAAGACTACTTTCATCTACAGATTAATACACATTTGGTGAAAAAGAATGTTAGATGCTAAAATAAATCGCTCATGTGCATCATGAAAAAGAACGTGTGGCTCTATGCTAAGCTAAAGAGAGCATCTAGCATCTTTGCTGGTTTGATTTGTCATGGGACAATTGGACAAATATTTAATATCACACACAATTTCTCCTTTTAGAGTTAAAGTGGCAATAGGCAGGGGTTTTGCTTTTTGTATCATTATCAAGAACATTTGAGTTGCATAATGTGAAGGCTGCAGATTATGGATCACCTCAATTCTGTCTTTTGGTATAATCTCCCAGACAAATAAATCTCCATGCATGGCACGAAGGAAGTGCAGGGAGTGCATTTTATTTTATGTGAAGATATTTATTGCTTTTTTCCTGATGGTCGGAATATGTCCCTAAGATTATTGCTGGTTTTCTTTAACCTGCCATTTTAACTTAACATAAGTGAACCGATACAGCAGTTATTCACCTTACCCTGTATAATGTCTGGTTACTTCCGGGTTAAAGCTTAATTGCTAATAGCAGCTTTTGAATCAACTGTTATTAAGTTATAAACGTTTTTCAGGCTTGACACTAACTATTTTGATTAGCAATATGTGATTACGTAATGCAAAAAACATATAATTGAGAATGTACAGCAAGCTTTGTTTGGTTCTTAAAAAGAAAACGTCAACAATGAAAACGTCAACAATGTTTTTATATATAATTACTCTCACTGCCTGAGCGGTAGACGGTTAAACTGTAAGTTTAACCTGATGGATGTTTAATAAAAATTCCCATTTCAATTAGGAGAGCCACCAATTTAGCAAAAGCTCGCTAGGTAGCTGGATAGATGGATAGCTGGATAACATCTATCCATCTATCTATCCATCTACCTAGCTACCTATCTATCCATCTGGATAGATGGATATCCAGCTACCTATCTATCCATCTGGATAGATGGATGGATGGATAGATAGATAGATAGATAGATAAAGAGCGGGTTGCTAGCAAAAACCCTAACTTTCACGCTCGCTAAAAAGCTAACATTTGCTTGTTATCTTGTTTCTATAAATGTCAACACACTGTGAACCTTGTCTACCCTTCTGGCAGTGAGAGTTTATAAACTGTCCACATCAGCTTTAGTATGCAGTCTGACCGGCAGATATGCTTTGGTACTTGTCCTCATAGACACGACAGAGTTATTCAAATTGTATACAATTTGGGGCCATTTTCGTATGTCATCTGACAGTCACTAACAGAGGATTGATGCTGTAAAACCATCCGATCACCGCCGTGTAGCTGTAAATTATCTCAACTTAAATTCATTTTTTACAATGCTGCTAAACCGGAAGAACAAAGACATCTCATTTTTAACAGGAAGTGGGGAAAGGGGCGGGGATAGATAAAATGGTTATTGGTGGCAATGTAATTGGGCCTTGCAATAAATGTAGCTTCACATCATTTATGTAATTATTTACATTGTAATCTTGTAATTGTCAACCCACAGGAGGATTTTACTGTTTTTAATTAATAAATGCTCTATTCTAATACAATGTAAAGCTGTAACAATGAATGAAACCTGATCATCATATTCTAACTACAGCGAGCTTGTTGGAAGAATACAATTTCTGACAGCACTGATGTCAGCGGGGGCCCTTAGGACCCTGGACTGTCACCGCGGGCTAGCCGGGGGGGCACATGCAGGCCGAGGGTCACAGTTCACTGTGGATGCCCCGCTGCTTCAGCACTGGCTGACAGGCCACAGGAGTCTGGAAGTCTATGATGTACTGGCATTTGCTAGGCTCCTTCACCCCGCACAGCGCTGTCTCCGTCCCGCATGTCAGTGTGACCTAGAAAGCAGAGAGGAGGAACGGTGAGGAGGTGAAGGAGAGGTGCCGGGTTCATCTGCTGATGGAGAAGAAGAGACTAGCTCTCTGAGTTTCAGATCATACTGCAGCTGGTTCAGAGCAAGAAAGAAAAATAGTGCAAGAGAGGGAAAGAGGTAAATGTCAGAGAAATCAACAGAAGAAGACAGACAGGAAGTCAACACTAAAGGGAACAGCAAAAGAAGACAGACAGGAAGTCAACACTAAAGGGAACAGCAAAAGAAGACAGACAGGAAATAAACACTAACAGAAACTACAGTCGAAGACAGACAGGAATTAGACAATGGAGGGAAGAGAAAAAGAAGACAGACAGGAAGTAAACACTAACAGAAACTACAGAAGAACAGGAAGTAAACTCTAGAGGGAAAAGCAAGATAAGACAAAAGACTAACAGAAACTACAGAAGAAGACAGACAGAAATTAAACACTGGAGGGAAGAGCAGAAGGAGACAGACAGGAAGTAAGAGTGTTTAGTCATGTAATAAGTGGGATACTGTTCATGGTGATGCATGTTTCTTGCCATCTCTCTGGTCTAAGTTTCTTTTGGCAAACAAAAATCTGACCTATATTTTGGAAACTGTTGGTTGGTTTATATCTGTAGCTACAATAAGTGCAGCTCATAGCCCAGCACTTTGAATTTAATTAATAAGTGAAGCAGTTCACTTCCCCCTCCCTACAGACTCTTTGCTGCATGCTGCTTTAATTTGGATTACCTCGACTTCCCTCAGTGAAACAGTACCTCAGCGGTCCCACAGCCGGAGAGTAAAGAGAGGAGAGCGCTCACCGCAGCACTACCCAGAGACGAGTTCAGCTTCTCAAATATAATGAGCGCCGACTTCTGACGAGACTTCATTTATGCCGCCTGCTCTCGGTGAGGAGGTCGTATCAAAGGAATTAATTGGAGTCTTTTCAAAGGGGGCCCTGGATGGCATGAGTACATATATTTGCAAACGACATTTATTAGACTGTGATTTGTGCAGAGGGGGCCAGGCACAGGAAATAAGATGATTAAATTGATACAATTCTGACACAAAATGTAAATGGATCTCATAAAAGTGTCTGTAAGAGGAGGCAATACCGGAGAAATAAAGAACAGAAGCAGAGAGCAAGTGAGGAGGGGGGGGGAGGGGGGATGTCAGCTCCCATCACCGGGCCCTGAACACAGCATCTCACTGCCAGGATGCTGAGTGGGAACAAATCCACATGTGGAAAACACACACATCTGTCTCAGGAGTGTACATAAAGACTTGTCATTGGATTTATACCCAGTAAGGTTTCTTTGTCCAGGCCCAAGTTGTTATAAACTCTCTGTATATGCCGCAGTGGAAAAGAGGCGAAAACCCCTCTGGAGGGACATTTTGGATTCTAGCTCCAGCCTTCACAAAAACCTATTCAACACACTCCAGGGAAGGGAACACCACCAAAACTGAAAAAGGCCGCTTTAAGTTTTCCCTTAACCATAGCTACAGGGTGATTTTCTTCTTAAGAAAACATACTCATATCAGTCTCTTAAAAGTGAAATAATGTTTGGACCATGAGACATGGTTGAAATTATGTTGATTTAAGGCTAGGGGGAGATCACAAGATGCATTTTTAGGACATACGAGTGTTCAAAGAAGCTACACTGACTGAAAAAAGGGAGGACTTTAGCCCTGCAGAGTGAGAAGTACACACCAACAATTTGATATATCAAACTGGATCCATACAACAAGCCTGTTAATAAATCTCTAAATGGCAATACAAGTTCTCCTGTGACAAGTGTGTAATGTTCGGTAAGAGTCCGTTCACATGCAGCATTTATAACATTGCATTAAAAACTCAAGGCAAATCAAGCATTTTCTACATTTGCTAAGCGATCAAAACCATTACTTTAGGGTGTTTTTTTTAAATATTATCCATGTAACAGCAGTGTTTCCTGTAGAAAATATTCTCATATTAACCATAATGAGTTTAAATCCTAATGAGGTCTGCATCACATATTTATTGAGCTCTGATGAAGGACTTTGTTTCCATCTGTCAGTCAGTGTGTATGTTCCACTTGTGTATCTCTTACTTTGTTTATCCCTGAGTGTGTGTGCAGCACTTACTGTAGTACTGCGGGAGCCTCCTTGCCAGCAGGGTTCTCCGTTCTCATACACCATCTGACTGTACGGGTTCTTCGGAGTCCCCGCCCACATCCCCCACCTCCTGAGAGACACACAGCAGGAACACAGGGTCAGGTTATTTTTCATGAAGTATTTTATCAGCAGCTGAGCACAGAAAAAGTTTGTCTGGTTATTAAAAAAAACACAAAGACCTGGCAGCACGTCCAGCCTGGCACCATGCTCAACAATGGAGGGGAAATATTAATTAGTCAGAGTTAATGTGTGTGCAGCACCACACGAGGGAAGGCAAGTGAAGCCGTATCCACAGAGGCCGATCTGCAGCTCATTACGCTCTCACCAAACATTTCCCAGAGAGACAGAGCAGAGTGCCAGCGCTGTGTCCGGACGCTATATTCTGTCAGCTGTACAGTTATATATCCACAGTTTGGTCTGACAGATGCCATGTGACCAAGCTTTCTCCACATAACTTCCTCTCTTCTTCAGTTGAACTTCAGCAGCTTCTCAGACGTGCTGCTGCTGACGACTGATTCAGTAAAACAGTGTAATCCTGTTTGAGGGAAAATCTTTCTGCATGTGGTGCATGGTCGATTGGAGATTTGACTGATGTCCTGCCCTACATAGACTCGCAACTGTCTGCACCGGAGGAGAAATAATACAATCAATATTTTCACTTTGAGCAAGCACGGGATCTGAAGCCTTTTCCAAATGGTTTGCCAAAGATTCTGTAAATGCTTTTGCAAAATGCTAATAATCAAATGTACTGTTCTAAGAACTGTCTCGGGTGCACAAACCTTTCCTTGAGAGATTACAGATCTTTGCTTTCAGTGTCAAGGAGGCTTATATGATATTTTTGGGGGGATTTAAATACATCTCATATTACCCTTTGTCGTATATTTGATATTGTGACTTTAGAAATAAGAAATAAGAAATGAAAGGTGCAAAACATAGGGGGAATAAAGGCGGAGGGAAGAAAAATACAAAATTGGACACATACATAACATTTATTTCCCCTTTTTTTTAAATCCACTCTGATTTCAGCGAGGTGCTCCTTCTCCTTGCTGCTGTGATTGGGTTTTAGCACTTTGTTAGTGACAGAGGCCCCTCGATGGATTCCTGTCAGAGCTGCAGGAGTTGACAATTGATCCCCTGCGCATCACCTTCAGTAATGATAACACCTTCCTGCACTAAATATGTGATACAGCCCTCAACAGGTCCTTATTTACAACTCTGAAAAGCATCCTTAATCCTTTCATGCCAGCAGGATGCATTAACACTACTCTGACATGTCACTTTGATCCTGTGTCAACCTAAATGTGCAGAAAACAGCCCCCTGGCTCCATGATTAGTTCTTTTTTCCATGCAGTTTATCTCAGTTTGGCTCGAAGGTACGTGATGCTCAGCTGCACTTTAGATGCGAGCACAAAGTGACGGCCCCGCCCAACTTTCCGGTGAAAACTGAGAATCGGCACCAAGCTGAAAATAGAATATTATCATGCCTAAAAGCTTCTGTGTCGTGTATTGTACGTCAAACGACAAAAAGTTCAAAAGCTGCGATTTCCTTTTACTCAGTGGCATCAGGCCTCTCTACAGAGAGAGGGCGAGATGGTAACTAATGAGACTCGATCAGTCAATACATACCACATCTGTGGTAAACACTTCCTCACAGCTAATGATGCTTATGAGGCTATATCAAAGTAAACATTTGTAATGATAAAAGTAAAAGCAGTGAATGTAGAGGCTGCATTGAAATATAAAACACTAACAAGCCAAGGAAATACCAGTTGAAGTGTTAGCCATCGATCCACCAGTCTATAGCTTTTCATTTAACTACACATCGTTGCCAGTCATCAATCTCTAATCACATCATGTTATTGTTTGCTTGACTGGCCATCGTAATTGGGCTCCTTATAGATCAAATGTATACATTCATTATTATGATGTGATAAGTGAAAACCTCAGAATCTACATTTACTGCCAAGTCACATGACAGTGAATGTGACATATAGGGGAAGTACTGGACGGGTTGCTCTCGTGTATAAAGCTCGGTCAGTGTCCTAGAAAAGTCTGGGCTACTGTCTAGTGTGTGTGACATGTAAAACATGAGGCTCCTGTTAATGCTGAACATCCCGCTGAAGTCCTGTTTGGTCAACAAAATGATTGTAGAGTAGAACAAAGCAAGCAGACTCAGTCTAATACAATAACACAAAGGAACATAGCAACTGTATTTAAACACTTTCACTTGCTTCTCATTTTTCTCTCAAATGACAGAGAGACACACAACCACACACTTTAACACAGTTATTCTGGCCTTAGTGCATTCTCTTAATCTAACATCCAAGTGACACAAATGTAGATTCTGTTCTCATTTGACCCAGATTCCATTAGTTTGGTCTGGGAGGCAGGTAAAGTGCATCTTATATTATCCATTTCTCACCACATGCAGACTTCCTGTAATGACTAATGATGGATGATAGTGATGCTCCTTTTAAAGGCTTTAAACCTGCAGATATCTGGCTCATAATGTAATCTGTCTGGCCTTCCATCACAGATATCCATGCATTTGCATTGCATTGTGGGTGAGATAGTAGACAGGCCTGCACACATTACAGAGTCAATCTCATTAAATATGTTCTGAATTACTCGGTAAGATTTCTATTGACACAGAAATAGAGTTGTGATTAAATTAGCTGCAGACCATCACATGCACACTAAACAAAGAGTCATGCTATATTTTGAACACATAAAATACTTTTTTGGGGTGTTATGATGAATTATCTCTTGTATTGTTGAACTAATTTCTATAATCTGATGCTTATTGTGATTAATTAGCATTAGAAAGCAGATTAGCTTCTCTTGACGAAGGCTGCAGCTGACTTAAGCCCCTTTTATTTATTTAAAGCGATGCCAGTGATTCTGTTTTCAACTCAATCGCAGCATTAATCCGAGTTATAAATCCCCACGATCCACGGATAATCTCACCCCCCTCCTCGTATATAGCCACAAATCAACCTCTCAGAAGCTATCATTATACACTCTGCATTTTAAACTCCTGCTGGGGGGGGGGTCTTCACTGAACCGCATGAAGCTGAGAACACAATGCAGGCATGGCCAGCAGAACACTGAATATACATTTACCTTCAGTGTTTTCTCAGCAGACTAATGTGTGGAGAGTTGACTCCACTTCACATGCACAGGAGGAAGCTGCCTGCAATCATTCATGTATTGAAGAATGTTTGCATACATACTCAATACCAAAAGAAACCTTTCTACTATCTACACTCAAGTTCAACACTTTATGGAAGAAAAGCATCTGTGAAAGATTTATAAAGCCAAACGTTGCATCTATTAGTTTGTTCTTTTTATTTCAGTTCTATTGTATTATTTACTTTATTTGTAGTATTTTTATAGTTTTCCCTAAAGATTCAATGTTGACAGATAATATATTCATCTTATAATATTTTTCAAGTATATATTTTTCCTTGAATAAGTAATAAAATATAATGTATTTATTATTATTATCATTCTTATGTATATAGTTATTATTATTATTATTATTATTATTATTATTATTATTATTATTTTTATAGGTTTCCCTGAATATTAAATGTTAAGGGATGCATTTTATTGAATTAATTTATCATTATCATTATTATTTAATATAAATATTGTTTTCGTATGACTAGATATTTTTTCAGATTTTAAAACACATGAAAACAAATGTTTTTGGACACTTTTTATATGTATAGGCCCATTATTAGTGTGAATCAATGACGACAGTGAGGCCATTTCACAAGGCGCTAAATCAAACTGCAGGTGAACACTTCATATTTCACTGCCACACATCTGTATTCAGCTAACAGCTCTCTGCCTCATTAACAACCACACGTTACCACGGCAACCCAGCAGAAAGGCCATCAGGGGTTCACAGTGAACCCCCCCCCCCACACACACAACCACACACTTTAACACACTTACTAGAGTCATTATCGCCGCCCTGCCTTCAGTTAAATATAAAAGATAACGCCCCTCCCCCTACCCCCTGTTAGTGAGGGTGTTATATAAATATTAACATGTAAATATATATATTATACTCCAACATGTGTAGTGAACATGCAGCATATACCTTGAAAGTATTTTGAAGGTTTTTGAGTATTTGTGAGAAGTTGCTGCAGTGTCTCTGTCTCATTTGTAATCTGCTCATGTTACAGTATTACTACAGTATTCATCTCCCAGATCCCTCTGCGACTGATGGGAAATAAAAAATGGCCTCCCATCGAGATAATTAGCCACAGCACTTTTCTTCTATCTAAACATGAAACAGTGATTAATCTTCAGAAGGAGGAGGGAGGGGAACCAACAGAAGCTCTTATGCTGTCTCTCATGAGGAATGGACTGTTATTGATCAAATGAACATATTTCCATAAGAGCACAGAAAAGAGTGTGTGATGTTGGAGGAAACCCTCTGAGGAGTGACAGCCTGCAGCCATCACTGCTGCTCTCTACACCAGTGCATTCTGGGAAAACGACTGTGGACAACACTGTTTATATACAATACAAAATAAAAATGTCTCATAAATAATAGCTACAGTGTAAATTGTAGGTTGCCTAGTGTTATGTTGCGAGGCTAGCTCTCTGATGGAGATGTTGTGTTTGAATACCGACAAAATGAAGCTGTGGAGGAACTCAAAACACTCAAAGCTTCCTCTTTCCCTTCCTCTTCCTCCTCCTTCCTCTCCTCCTTTTAGTCTGACTCATTAATCTTGTTGTCTGCAGGAATTATTATGCCACTTTTATCCCTGGATATGTTCTAGCTCACCCTGTTCCTCCTCATCGTCCTCGTCTCTGTGGGGGCGGGACAACGACAAACAGTTTGACCCTGCACAGCAGGAGGTCGAGCTCCTTGAACTTTACGAGGAGACACATGTGGACCCCTGATCCCAAGCTCGTGGCTGCCTGATTTCCCCGGGGTCCCAAAAATAAAAGCTATTAGACGACCCTTCACCTTCACCTTCACCTCCTCTTAGTCTAAAAGTAGTGTGTGGGAGAGAAACGCCTTCTTGAGAAAGCTTTAGGATTTTAGCCTTTGCAGACCATTTACATGCACAAATATAACAGGGAAGGGAAAACCACAAAAAGCAGGATAGGGCCTCTTTAAGACTTAAATCACCATGGCTCACTTATTAATTTCATCTTGTTGTCAAAAATGTCAGTGTGTGTAAGCACTAGGAGCAGTGGCTTCCAGGCGATATGCTAATCTAATCTCAGATAAACCTCCTGATCCTGACCTTGCTGTATCAGCATGTTTCCCAAAATGTTAAAATATTCCTCTAAAGCCTCTTAGAGCTGACACTCTGATAATTTAATTTCTGTTAATATGACTCATTTTAAGGACTTTTCTTTACCCCGACTTTCAGTGATTCAATTTCAAGGGTAGAGTGAGATAGAAAGACTTTGTGTGCACCAAAAAGCATGTTTTACACTGAACACATCTTCTAAACAATATTTAACTAAGATACATTTTATTTTACCAACACCCTAACCCAGGGCGTACACGGTCTGTCAATTAGCTTAGCGCTCAGGCCATTTCCTGCTAACAACCACAACATGTACAAAAAGCCCTCAGCAGTAATACCCTCTCACCAGCAGCAGAGCATGGGACATATTAATGTGAACACTGTTAGCATAAACAGCTGCTAACAGTGAGCAGGCAGTGAGGTTAAACCAATATGGGATGTCGTCTTTCTAATTTGTCAAGCCAGTGTAGGAAATGCAATAAATAACTAATAAAGGACATTATGTATCAACAAATGGTTTCACATTTGCACATTATTCCAAGTATGAAAAGAAATCCATGTTATAGGCAGGGATTAAAAGAAAGAAACAAAAAAACATAATACAAATATTAATTATCGATTGTCAGCGCCAGTTTTTGAAGAGAAAAATAATTTCCAAATATAATACAAATATATTTGATGTTTATTAGAGCCAAAACCACTGCCTTTTACTTCTTTAACCAACAACTTAAATACTTAACAATAATATGTATTTGTACTGTATGGGTTTGATATCATTTATAGCTAAAAAATAATTTACAACAGCAGTGGAGCATTGATAGTTCAGTCATTCATTATATGTACACGTTAGGTACACCAAATGTCATGAAAATACGGCAAGTTGCGCTGACAAACAAAAACAATAACCAAGAAACCAAGCTGAATTATAAAATCCTTGAACCACAACAAGGTATCTGAAGGAATATTTGCTCATCAACAAACCTCAGAAATGGCTGCCGACGCACTCTACAAGCTTCTTACAGTATTTACCATAAGCTCAAAAACACGTTGGAAATGCATGTGACAAAGAGAAATCAATGCAAGCGCTGTTTCTTCCTCAGTCAATGCTGTGTTATATATGAACATAAGCACAGGAACTGATTTACATGTGTGTGTTTGTGCAGCTCTGTGTGTGGAGGACATTATGAAGATGGACGACGCTGTCATGGTGCCACAGTGTTTGTCGCTATGCAAGCGTTTTCCTCCACTCCATTATCATTACGGCAGCGCGTGCTATTGTTGCAGAGGCCATTTCAGGAAAGCGGCGCGAGCAGAAAGCTAAATGGGAAACGGAGACGCTGGAATCAGGAGGTGAATGTGAGGCGTATAATATCTACATTTACACATAATTGGGAGCATACAGTATGACTGCTGGGCCTTATGAAATCGTTATGGCTGTGTGTGGCCACAATAGGAAGTGATGTATTGTTCCATATGAGCATTCGGAAACTTAATGCTGCAGAACCACGCATGCAGGAAACGCTGAGGGAACAATTTTAACTTTGATGAGCCTTGACACACTTAACAAACTGACGTTGTAATCACAATTCAGCAACACCCTCCCTTTAATACTGCACCAACACACTACGAGCCAGTATTAAGAATGTTTCTGGTGTCAGGAGGAGCAGGTGTGATAAATGCTGCTGTTTAAATCCCCCCCACCTCCCTCCATGCAGATTGATATCAGGAGGACGGATGCATCCCGCTGACTGATGGTCTGTCAGGATCAAAAATGAACTTTAGTCCCCTCCATATATACCTCCACAGACACAGTGCCGCGCCGCTTGCTACACCCACAACATACCAACGAGGTGTCTGCATGTGATTCATTTTACATTAAATCATCTCTGAGCACACCGACAATATTTTCTGTTGTGTTCAGTCGTGTCTCTAACACTTCACGAGGAAAGTGTACACATTTTATTCTCCTCCGGCTCTAGGGTGCTTCCACATTGCCGTATCATGTCTTGGTACTTTGAGTTGAAGCCTTATTGCTATTACTTTGCATATTGTCACCACCTATAGCATCCTTTACTTGCCAAATAAACGTTTTTTAAGCTTTTGAATGAACTGTTCATTACTGTAATTACAGTTTTTCAGACGAGGAACTACTAAATAGCTAACGTTCGCTAGCCTGAATAGCTAAACTTTGCTAGCTAAATAGCACACTGACAGGTTAATTGAGTTGGGTCTCAAGGTTAACTTGTCTGCCCCTCTTGCCAGTGTTGCTCTTGCAGCTCTAATATGCAGTCTGACTGTTGGTGCTTTTGTAGCTCATCATTAGTGCCATGACACTACTGAGTTATAAAAAATGTCGTCATGTGAGATTTTGTGCCATTGTGCACACAGTCAATAACAGAGAATAAATGCTCTAAAACCATCTGATTACCGCAGTGTTGCTGTGAATTTCAAATTGGTACATTGGTACTAGTGCTAAACCGGAGAAGCTTACAAATAAGAATGGGTTCCTCATGAGACTAAGAGTAAAGATTCAAATGCTGTTTTTAGTTGCAGACAGAGTGACCAGCTCTCAGATGGGGACGCTGGCTCTGTTTGGTCCTCACGCCTTGCCATACACGGTGAGTGACAAGCAGCAAAGCGTGGGGTCACATGACTCAAAGCTAGCATGCTGTTCTCCTCTTTCTGCGCTAAAAACATGCTGCTACTCCTCCTCCTGCTCCTCCAGTGAGTGGGTGGTGTGGGAGGTGGCGACGCAAAAACAACTTTAGACTCCAATTAATTTACAATCTGAGAGCAGGAGGAGATAATTGCTGATGAATTATCTTTAACGTGTCACTTCAGCTGCCAGCAGGAGACGAGTCAGGCCTAATGGCTTCACGTCTCACAAGAGAATAAATGTTTGGACACTTTTTCTGTCGTCTTAATGCCTTTACATTGTCTGTGCCCGCTCTGCAGCCAATCATAAAGAAATTGGTCCTGAAAGGTCTCAATGTGAATAGTTTCTGTAATTGCTACCTAAAATAAAGGAATGTAAACGCACAGAGATTTTATATATTCTACCTGCTGTTTCACTCAGCAGGTAGAATATATAAAATAAGCCATACATGAAACTGTTATTGATCAGAAGCTATTAAAACGCTAACAAAGATTTGTTAGCGATTGATTAAGGGTCACATGAAGCAGATTGAATTACAATTTAAAAAAATCTATCGCACAAATACTCTTCATATGAGCGCTGTAACAATGACTCAAGAGCTGTCAGAGTTCTCCAGTGCTGCAAGTGAATTTATCTGATTAATATCAATAAGAAAATGATTGCATGGTGTGTGTTGGGTTCCTGGAGCTGTTTAGAAAAGACCTCCCTCTGCTGTGTGTGGGGTGAGCTGCTGAGAGTGTGAGGAGCAGCTGATTGGTACTCACCCTAACGAGACCTCGGTCCCCGCGGTGCTCTTCTGAGTGACCTGATTGAACGGACACAGATTGTAGGTGTACCTGCAGAGGAGAGGAACACATGAGCTTTAATACAGGGTGCTTTACTGTTCATGCTCTTTAAACCAGGCTTTGACGATAAACGTCAGCAAACTGTTGGAACGATTTTAGACAGAAACTGCACAGAAATGAAAAGATGTTTGAGGAAACATCACATAGTGTCTTCAAACGTCACACACTGTATATATCTTGATCAAATTACATAATTGAAGTGTAATGCTATTTATATATATATTTACTCCATGCAATATTCTTTATATATCCCCAATGTTTTTCTCAGAATTCAGATTTTCTCCTCGGAAATAAAATACATCACTTTTGGTCAGATGTCGAAAAGAAATGTCACATGTGGCCCTAATCCTCTTTCGTACAAAAGAAATGCAGCGTTTATATTTGAAATAGCTCAACTTAATATTGAGGTCCAGCACATTTTCAGGTGGAAATGTTACATACTTATACCTTTAAACAACAACGGTAACATGTACCATAGAATGACCTCTAAAAGCTCTATGTAGTCTTGGGTAAAGCCATTCTAAAAAATAAAAAGTTTGTAAAATAATTTCAGCAACACATTTCTGAATCCAGAAACATTGACTGATGGTCACACACACTCACACACTAAAGAAAGTATCCCTATTTATAAGTGAGGGTCATGTGACCTCGGTAGCAGGAAACATGAAGTGAGTCTCTGGGTTAAAAACTGTGAGGACAGATTATATACGTCAACATGTGACAGAAGCTGATCAGATGTCCGTCTTTTCACACTGCGTCAAAGCAACCGGACCCAGCAGAGAGGACACACACGCACACACACGCACTGATCAGAGACCAGAGTGACAGGAGGAGACGGACAGACGGGATGTAGAGCTGAGGAACATCCAGAGGAACAAAGACAGACGGAGGATAAAGAGTGCAGCAGAGTGGGCTGCATGAATCACAGCCCTGTATATATTTCATTATATAAAATATGTGACAGATGATGACGTGCAGGGAGGGCGGACCATGCAAAGGTCACCAATCAAACTTTATAATAACTACAGAAGGCTGTGATCAGACGGTGACAGCTGGGATCCTCCCATCCGCTCCTGAACGCAACACTTTTGAAAGTGACAATAAAGAAAGAGGCCAGAACAACTAAACTGAGACTTGAATCAGATCTACAAAAGGAACAGTGTGGATCCAGCTGTTATAAAGCATCAAATTCTGCAACCACCACTATAAAGTATAACTGTACTTTATTAAGTAATAAAAAGAGGTTTATTCTTATGTTAGTGATAATAGCCTCCAAGAGCCTCAGGGACTGTGCTTTATCAAGGTGAATCAGTTCTCCGACAGTAAGAGTATAAACTGCAGCCATGATGAGTTTGACTTTAGCAGAGGATTGGTGTCAAGTTACATTATCTTTATCTCCTGATATTCCAGTTCACCCAGTTTAAAGAAAACATATTTAAAGTGGGCCATTCTCCAGTCCACCTTCATTTTCCACATGGAGAAGCACAGTAAACAGCTCTCACTGAGTCTGATTGAAGTTTCTGACCGATTATCATATTTCAGCCTGGAGATGCTGTATGCAGAGTATGAGATTTATATACTATATATATATATAAATATTTCTTATTACCTCTGTGAAACAACATAGCTGGGATGCTCATAAATTACCCAAGAAGAGAATAATGCAGCCTCTCCAAAGAATCAATTTGTATTGGAAACAAAACCGAAAACTGGAAGCCAATTTAGATTCAGAGCATCAGAGAGCAGTGAGGCGGAAAGCAGGCCAAACATTATTACTGACGATTTCTCCTCCACACATACATGAAGGAAAGTAAGAAGAATACTTTGTAGAAAAGGAGCAGAAAATAGTTCCATTATAAAAACTATTTTAACATGTAACAAATAAAGTAATACGAATGTTAAACAAAAAAGAATAATAAATAAAAAATATGCTTGCAAAGTATTTAAATACCACATTTATATTTATCTACTTACATTATGAGTTTTTTTACGGTAAAAGAAGAATTGTTTTGTCCTGCAGATTCCCTCTTTTCACCCTCTGTCTCAAACCAGAGCCCAGTCTGCTCTGATGGTCAACTGGCTGGTTCTGACTGTTGTTATTGGTCAATCATTTAGAGATGTTCCGCCACTTAGCCTATCACATTCAATGTGTTTGAGTTCTGGCCAACAGAAGCGCAAGTGTTCCATTGTGATGTCACTATGTTACATAAGTAAACAAAGGAGGCTCATATCTGTGTGGGATAGAAACTCCCCTCTGGAAAAAACGTAGGGATTTTAGCCTTTGCAGACCATTGACATACCTATAGAACAAGGAATGGAAAACCAGTCGTACTCCAGTTAATCCTGCATCAATCACGTACTGAGTTCGGCTGCCTGACTGTGAAGATTTCAAAGTGATATGTATTATAAAACAATGAGAGGAATATTCTAATACAGCCATAAATAATATCTCTATTTAATGTAAAGGATCCCACATTAGTGTGAAGCACGCTGGCTCAGAATAATATTTTACACTTCTCCTCCTCTGAGGTGTTAAAAGAGGCTCCAACAGAAAGAGTGTTGGAGGATCTACTTTATCATATCCTAAGGTGATAATTAGATTTATCACAAAGAGAAAGAACTATCTGAGGCTGAGACACATCTGCTATGTCGTATGAAGAAAAAGACCAACACATTAAATAACCAGCTGATAATAATACAAATATAGAACATCCTCAAATTGCCCTGTAGGTCCTAAAGCAGCTTGTTAAGGCTAATGCTCCTTCTTTAGTTAACCAACAGTGTCTGATAACGTGAGTGTGACACCTGCTCTGAGGCATGGAGCTGCATACATACACTTTCTGCATAAACAAATATATTTAAACCCGCATACAAACAAGATTTCACTTCCTCTGTGCACGTGCATGCATCTGTTAGCCTGGTTAGCTTTGTCTTTTACGCTAACACTGAACAGTGTTAAATGGCATAAACAGAAAGCTAGTTCCTTCTTTTCATAATTTCTTTAACTCTTGAGAAAAATGACACTCATTTACCAAGGACAACATTCTTAAAACACTCATTCAATTAGCTATGCACATTTTGTTAAATGTTTGTGCAAAATACCTGGTATTCATGTTATGATATTATAGTGTTAAAATGGAGAAGGATCATGCCTGTGTGGCAGAGCACCTAAAGCATCATGGGAACGGAACGCCTGCTGATGCCCAGAGAAGACAAGAGGCGCTACAGCACAGCTAACACCCGCCGGGGAAAATAGATTCAGGACTCCCTTGGAGCGCTGCAGAACAAAAGAACATCCTAATATAATGACTTAGTGAGCGATGCTGGGGTGTCCTGAGAAGAACAAACCCCATGTTGAAGTGGGGATCAAACCTCTCCTGTCCTCTTCCAGAAAGAGCTTCCATGGAAAGGTGAAGAGGGAACACTGAATGGGACTGGCTTCATTGTGTTACTGATTTGTACAAGGAAAAAAGGGCGACTGTACCCCAAGGGTCTGTTGAAAAATTCATATTTATGATTGTCGATTTAAAAAAAGAGTCCAATATGTGGAAATGTCTGGTCAAGATGTCTGATTATTGTGTAATTGAGAAAACTGTGGCTCTCCTGCTCAATGCCACACAGGGAGGCACACTTATATTAATTATAGAAAGTAGTTCACATGATTTCCTTTGATCATTCAGTAGCTGTTCAATGTTCTATTCTTACTCTAAACGTGCATGACTGTAGCAGTAGCTCTAAGCTTTCCTCGACTTTCCTCTCTTTAACTGTGACTTTTTTTCACTTGAACATCCATTTCATTCATGAACACAATGTTTGCCACTGTAATCTAACAGAGCCTGCATACGATTTATCTGGTTTAACATCTTCCCTTTCAACATTCTGCCTCCTAAAAGGCAAACTAAGCAAACCCTGCTGTGTGAGGGCCGGGGAAACTCTCTGAGATGTGTTTGCAGATAACTTCCTTCAGTCTTCAGCCGCCCACAGCCTGTGGAGCTCCAGCTGGCAGCGCTCCTGAGGAGAGCAGCTTCTCCCCAGCAGGGACACAGAGGAGACGCAGAGGAGGAGGAGTTCTCTGTGGTGATTAAATCTCTATCACGTTATACACTGAGATGCTATGAAGGATTTTGATTGAGTTTTTCACAGTAACATCCTCTGTAGACTTTGTGATGCTTCTCTGAAACTCCCAAACACCCCCCATGCCTGAACAACCTCCATTGGATCCGGAACATAGCGGAATCACTATTGAACACGCGCGCTTCCAACACATTGAACGCGATTGGCTAAGGGGCGGGACATCTCTAAGCGGTTGACCAATCACAACAGACAGGGTGAAAAGAGGTGCAAATTAAAGACCTTTTTGAACATTAACGCATGGAAACATGTCCCAGTAGAGGCACCAAATACTAATATCAACCTGAAAATGACCATAACATGTCCTCTTAGAGAGAAGTCATCATGTTGACAGCTTAAGGGTTAGTTTTGAGAGGCAAAGATGAACAAAGAAGTACTCACTCATAAACGTTAAGCTGGTAACACTGGCTGTTCAGAAACAGGAACTCCCAGTCTGTACCGTAGTCAATGGCCAGCTTCTTCCGAAGATCACTGGAAAAAAAAAACATCTGTATTTAAACCAGCAGCAAAACTTAAGCTAATATCTGACACCATGCCAACATTTAGACAATTACGTCTGCAACCTAGGCACTGAAACACAGATGGAAATGCCTCTGACACAGATATAACTTCAGGTATTATAAAGGTATCTGCGCAAACTGCAAGCTTCTTCCTCTGTGAAAAATAATCTAGTATTTCTCTAGATGTGTGTCATGTGACAGCTGCTGTATAACCCCTTTGTGTCCCCTCAGTCCAATTATCTGCTTATCTCCAGTAATGGCAGGTACAGGAAGTGAGCCCTTTGTGGTAACAGCGGCGCTGCACAGGCCTTTATTTCCATATTCATAACTCAGAGGTGCTAATGGGGTTAACACATGTTTAAAGAGGTGGCTGTTTGGCTCCAGGTTAATAAGGTGGGGGGGGATTCCGGGTCAGGAAGGTAATGCAGGTTGTGTGTGTGTGTTTGCATTCTCACAAAGTGCATGTTTGTGGATAAGGAGTAGAGTGGAGCAATAAATACGTTAGCTTCCTGCTAGTTTTAAAGCCGCTAAGCTGAGTGATGACAGACAGAGAGGAAACACAGCGGTTGGATTCATCCTTGGGGTTGGGGGGGGGTGGGGGTGGTATCTTGACCTTTAGCTAGCTGAACTGTAATGAACAGTATGCAGGCCTTCGGGGCACAGCGGCTACTCAGCAGCTTTATGAACATTATTATCATTCAGGGATTAGCAACAGGAAGCTAACCACGCGTCTCATCCCTCCATACCTGATCTCCATGTTGATGGTGTCATACGCCTCCTCCACCTTCTTCAGACTGGACGCCTCCCGCTCTGCAGCTGCACACACAGAAGGTCACGGTATTAGCAGAGCATGTTGTCTCATCTGCTGTGTGTGGCTAAACCATTAGCTCTGAATACAGGATTGTTGCTCGTATGACAACATGTCCGCCTGCAGGCTAACTCCTGCTAAGCGATGTGACGGGTGAGAGGAAACACTGTGAACATGCACCGCCCTGTTAGCATGTTATTACCTCCCCTCTTAGCTCATAACATCTGCTGCAGCTAGCATGGGACACTATTATACTATTATACATTTCTGAGAAAAAACATCCATACATCAGTTCGGAGCTACAAAGGACGGTCCTCCTTAAAGAAGGTCTGCACCATCCAAGAGACTTTCTAGATGGTCAAATTATGAAATCATGTGTTAAATTCCATTTTGCATCAGATTAAAAAAGGAAATATTATAAAATGTTTGGGTAATGCATACGATCATACCTGCTGCAGAGGTCTAATGGAGGATATTGGAAGTGTATATTGTGTGTGAGCTGTCACAGAGGTCTAAATATTAGCATGTTAGTGGCTGCACAAAAAGACCCCCCCCCACACACACGCCCTCTGCACCTTGTTCCTGCAGATGTGCTGTAATGGATATTTGTACAGCCCCTCCACCCCTGAACTCCTTCAGAAAATCACACACATAGACAGATTCCCTCTCCGACCCAAGCATCAGGCTGAGCGGAGACAAAAGGAGATCACAATCCACAGAGGCTGAACTCTGACCCCTGCAGCAGCCGGGTTGCATATAAGGATAGTAAAGAGGTGCAGCCAGGCGTACAGCAGCTCCTCCAGCAGGGATGACACAGGGAGGGTATGCACCATAAACCAGAAAGAGATCCATATTGTGTTCTGTATCGTGAAAAATTACTTAGAGTAATAGATTTTCAATATAATTTACTAACTATCAGTGGATCATCTTCTATCATTGCAGCTTTATTTATTGTTGTGCATATGCAGAAAAATAGTTGATATTATCCCGATACGACAGAAGAGATGAACACACTGCACACACACCTGTGCACAGCAGCCGATCTCTCAGCTCCAAGAAAAGAAGAAGAAACCTCCAACCTCACATTCTTTCAGCTACGTCAGCTCAGACACATACAGGAGTCTCTGTCTGCAACGTCAAGCCTCTCCTCTTATGACACTATCAACCCATCGCTAACTCAGACCAGAGGCTTTGCAGAAACGGTGCACGGTGCATTAATAACCTGCGGCATAATTATCGGCCCCTAAAGAAACCACTCCGTTTGGATGCACAGAATCCAAACACTCAGGATAAACATTGAGGCGTTTGTGCTGTTTGTGCAGAGGCTGCTGGGAGTTGACGGAGGTCACCTCGCCCCCTGCATGATGTTGTGTTGGAGTGTCTGATGGTGTTAGTTCTGAGTGAGTAACAGTGTCTGGCAGGAGGAGCCTCATGTGTTGAGCAGAGCCTGCTGCAGAGACTTTTCCAGGAGCATCTGCACAGCTGCCATCACATAACTGGTATTACCCTACATGTATCATTGTAGGAAGATAAGAGAAGTGATTTACTTGCTACATTCAGATACATGCATATTGTATTTGACCTTGCTGTACAGGAGACATTAGCCAAAAAACTGTCAAACATTTCAGCTTCCTCAAACTTCTAGATTTGCTACTTTACTTTTTTTTACACCATTTTATTTCAATGTTATACTATTTTGGTTCTGGACTTGTGGTAGAAAACAAAGATGAAAATATAAAGACATCATTCGGTGATCTGTGATGGCCATTTTTCTGACATGTAAGAACATTCACTTATTAGGTTTTATGGCCAAAATGTAAAGGGGACCTATCATGCAAAATGCACTTTTGTACGTCTTTTATACATGAATATGTGTCCCCGGTGTTCCAGGGAACTCACCAAGTGTCAGAAAACACCCAAATCTCTAAAAAAAGGGGCTGTAACGGATCTGATCAAAACTGATCCAGATTTGAACACTGTGCTGACAGACAGTGGCGCTACGGCTATTGGGCCAACTCTCCACCTATCAGGGGAATGTGGGGTTGGGCCACGGCCGGCCATTGCCGCTCGAAAGCGCTGGAGACGCTGTAGTACATATGCCAGGCCTGTAAGTGGCGCTGTAGTCTGCCACAAAAGCAGTGAAGAAGACTTCCCGCGCATGGTTACCCTTCTGTTTATTCTCCCCTGTGGCTTTTTTTCTCCCTCCCCGAGGCAAGCGTTTGCTCCCGCTGCTTTAATTCAATGCAATCCCTCCCCGTCGAGGCAAGCACTGTAATTCTCTCCGGTTAGTCCACCAGCAGATGACAAACACCCACCTCTCCGCCTCTTCCAGGGAACGAGGGGACCGTGCAGCAGAGTTTCAGTTCAAGATGCCGGTCAAGATGTCCGTTAAAGTTTAAATCTTCCGGACAAAATTAGAAAATTCCCGGTCAAAGGTCTTCTTTGTTATTTATTGAGCTTTAAAACAAATGAATAACGACTCTATATAATAATATAATAAAACACGGAGGACGGAGATCTATTTTTCTCCCCCTCTTCTGACTTGATCAGAGCACGCTATCCTCTCCTGCAGGGGGTCAGCTGCAGCTCACAGAATCAGCCCCCTGCAAAGACAGTGCTGGAAAGAGCAAATGGAGCGAAATGAGGCATGGCTAAAATGCATGATCTGTTTGGTATTTTGAAAACAGAAACGTGTAAATATACCTTATATAGGTATGGCCCTACAATATATCATTTAAATATAGCATGATAGGTCCACTTTAAATCTGAATCCTCCTGTCAGCACCTCACAGCTGATCAACACGTCCTCTCCTTTCTTTAACCTGTAGTGTGTATGTGTGTGTTTGCTGCTGTAGCTGCGTGTGTGTTGAGGGGTAGAGGTGTTGTTCTCAGAGTGTGTCAGCTGCTACTCTACTATGCTGATGTGTGATGAGTGTTTACCATGTGAAGGCAGCAGAATAAACAGAATGAGTGTGCAGTGTGTGTGTGTACTCTGTTTATAAATATGTATGATGTAACACCGCCAGCAGCTGACCTACTTCTCCTCATGACTCCTCCTCATGACTCCTTGCGTCCCCTTCAGGGAACTCTGTCATCCTGCAACACGCTGTAAGAGCAGGAAGGAAGCGACTCGTGTTCGAATCAACACGCTCCCCTCTGACGGTGCTGAGTGTCAGAGACGACAGGTACGGCACTCTGACTACTTCCTACTAAATTCAGGGAGCCCTGATGAACAACCTTTTTCAAACGTGTGATGGATAAGCGTTTGCAAACAAAAGAGTTCGACATATCTGGAGCTGCACGCTGGAGAGCATCTCCTCCTGCGTCTTCATTAGGATGGTTGGAGCGCTGCCAGCCTGTGTTAGCTTCAGGAGACACAAATCAATTTCAGAAATCACCAGAGACACAGGGCTGGCACACGCTCAAAACACACTTACAGCATTTGAGAAGGTTAACGGGTTAATCTGATGGAGCTCATAAAATGCTTGCGAGGCAATACACTCCTCCTGTGCTTGTACAAACACACAGACACATGAGTCAGGTGGGGGGGGGGGGGGGGTTATGGATCAACCTCTTAATAAGGAACAGAGAAAGATCATTGGACAGCAGGCCACTCCTCAGCTCTCCTGTGGAGCCAACAATTAACATCGGACCTATCGTGCTCACAATAACACAATATCTGCTGATTTACAGACGTCTATGTCCCAGTGTATGTCAATGGGAAAAAGTATTTATGGGCCCAATGACAGCACGGACTGACAGGAAGTTATACTACCACTTTTGGCCTCTACCAAAAATTGCTTCAATGCCCGTCACATCTCTTGGGGGGCTTATTGCACACCCCCTGTGCCCACTAATGTGATTTAATTAGGCTCTTGTTTGCAGATATCTCTCACTCTCACGCGGCTGTTATATGTTTTCTATTCTAAGCATCACCCTCATATCTTTAGATGCAAATCTCTGTGCATCAGATCAAAGTGAGGAGGCTTCACACAGCCCATATGTACAGGGATAATTTGTTTAGAGCTGCTTAAAGCCGAAACACCCACACAGACAGAAATAAGTGGCTGGACTGTGACTGTGTTTGCATGGAGGACACAACAGCTTTACTCTCACTCAGATAAGCACATTACTCTTTATCTAAGTACAAACTTCTCTTTGATTATATTGACTTTTATCTTGGTTAAATGTGTGTTTCATGCCATCCATCAGCACCACGGACAACACTCTGACGGTGCGTAAAGTCATTTACTGGATCAGCACTCCATCTCCACCAAGGAGAGCGTCCATCAGCACCACGGACAGCCTCCATCTCCACAGAGGAGAGCGTCCATCAGCACCACGGACAGCCTCCATCACCACCATACAGCCTCCATCAGCACCACGGACAGCCTCCATCAGCACCACGGACAGCACCAACAGAACACACTACGTCAGGGGTGTCAAACTCGAGGCCCGGGGGCCAAATCCGGCCCGCGACTTTCTCACTGAAGAGACTTGCAATTGTTTGCCCTAGACTTCTGCTTTCAGACCGAGTTAATTATGAAGTTATTACCCTATCCGATAATAATCCAATGCAGAAGCAATGATGTCATATAATACATTATTTTATATATATTAAATATTTATATATGTATTTTTATATAGTCTTAAAGTTACAACCGGACCTTTGAGTTCAACCATAATGTGAATGTGGCCCGTGGGGGAAATTGAGTTTGACACCCCTGATCTACGTCAACAACAGATCACATTCAGACTTTCTCTACATGCAGTATTTCCTCTTACACCACATGTGTCTGAACATCTTTATCATCATGTGTACTGAGAAAACACTGGAGACACACACACACACACACACACACACACACACACACACACACACACACACACACACACACACACACACACACACACACACACACACACACACACACACACACACACACACACACACACACCACACACAGAGTAACATGCTGAGACACAAAGTAAAGAGGGATACCAACAG